TCTGTTGTCAGCAACGATATCTCTTGTTCGTTTTCCATGGCTAATTCCTCTGAAGTGGATAGACTATTCTTCGTTCTTGGTCTGTTCTTAGTCTGTAAATTCTGCTGCAACCATTCACTTTGGGTCACCATGCTGGTATTTGAAATACCAATGGCATAGCTTTCAGCATCACAGTAACACACAAGGCACCACAGTCTAACAAATGGACAGACGAGGTGGCTTTCACAGTATGTGTTTTTATTGGAGAAATAATTGTTACATTGTCTCATAACCATACAAATGATCACAATCCAGTACAGAGACTCATGAGGTTGCTCATAGCCCATCATCCCTCTATAGTTGTGAAGTCTGTTGGGATACAGAATGGGTACACGAAGATTAAAAAAAAAGGTCTTTCTGTTGCCCTTACACATTGAAAACATTTGGGAATAAAATGGCTTTTTTCTCCTTTAAATTTGCAGTCTTTCAGTCGACAAGTTGCTTCCTGGACTTCCAGCATTTAGTGTTGGAAAAGGAAAATCTATGGGATTGTAATCGCTTTCTTTTCCTCTTTTCCATGTGGTTTTCCCTCCCACTTATTTTTAGAATTTTCCCATTATTCCAGGTTGTATCTAGGTACATATCTTTTATTATTAAAATTACTCCAGTATTTGGTAGCAACATTATCAACTCAGGATCCAAGTCTCTTGTCAGGTTAGAGAAATTGGCTTAATTCTTTGATAATGGTTTCCCCTCTTGTTCCATTCAAGGCTCTGATGATTTCTAGCAGAGGTGATGCTGCCAGTGTTACTTTTGCTCATCTTCCTTTCTTCATCCCCTTCCTCTGGGTTCTAGTAAGATGGTTGCGCCAATCTAGCTAAATCCCTGGTTTTGCTTTCAGGGACCAGATTTGCTTTTCACCGCCACCAATGTGTTAGTTTGGGGTTTAATTTTCACGTACCAATTGAGTGTTTTATTGTGAGGGAAACCAGTCCCTCACACTTCACGGCTCCGGTAAGCGCAATTGTACTGTTAAAAGATATAAAGATTATAGTAAAGTCATAAAGAATAAGAGATAGAAGAGAAAGTAAAACAAGAGTCAGACACATTTCATGGTAGCATGCCCACCTCCTGGATGGTCATGATCTCACCTGCCAGGTCTGCGCACAGCACGGGTGGAGGAGAGGAGAGAGAGCGAGCGATTTATTTCTATATCTTTTGGGGATGTGCAAGCCTCCTGATTACAGGCAAAGACGTATGTCACAGGAAGGGGTTGTACTATAGGTAATACAGTAATGGGAGGGGGATGATCTAAGGGTGTGCACACTACAGGGAGAAGAGGGATTAAGGGTATGCATGTGACAATATGGGCGGATCCTAGATTCACTATGCAGGCCTAACCTTGATTGTCCTTGAGGTGGCAACTTTATTTATTCTGAGCCCTTCAAGGAATGCAATCCACTCTCCCTAACCATAGGGAGGAGCCCCACCTCCACCTATGGTGGGACAGACAATAGGGTCTGCTTGCTCTGGATGGCTGGTTGCAAGCAGTGTCCTAGGTCTGACATATATATTTGGGGAGAGAAGCTGAGGAAAAGTCTTTTTATATCCCACATTTTATCTACCAGCAATTTTCCCCAACCTCCCTTTTTATTTCCCAGAACAATAAAAAGAGCTAACAAAGTCATATAAGTAGGCTTTCAAAGTCACTTCACATCAATATGAATTAAGAAAAAACCGTTCAATGTTTTCTCCTACATGGAGGTAAATCTTCAGGATTTTTCTATTAATGGTAGATTCCCGAGGATGACATCAAAAGTATGAGATATAGAAACAGCTAATGCAAACAACGTGTTTGAGAAGCTAAGAAAAAAAGTTTGGGTTACCTTTATTAAGTTTGGGTTACCTCTATTAATTTTATTACAACCAGATTATTTTATTGGAGAATATTTGTTCTGATTTCTTAGAAGAGACCCTTTTTAAAAATTTTACATTGAATTTGGGGGGTTTTCTCTATCAGTTTTTTTCTCTCTATTGTGATATAAAGTTTATTTTGACCAGATTGCTTCCGTTTTGTGGCAGTTAGACTTCCTATCCACTTGAACCTGTGTAAATGTGTTGCGGTGGAGTCCAAACTATCAATCAGGTAAGCCACAGCCTGGCAGTGAGAACCTGTCTTCTGGCCCTTCACCTTCCTCCTCACCAGGACTCTGTGTCTGCATCTAGGGGTGGCCCCAAGTGGGCCACCCAACCCTGGGAGCTGTCATCTTGCCACCTTCCCACCAAACCTTGGGTGCATGGGACTCCCCTGGTGTCCTCCCCGCGTCCTTTCGGCATCATCAGCCTGCAGCTATGTGAGTCTGAAGACTGTGGACTTGAGTTTGGACTGGGCTGGGACATGTTCTTCATGCAAAATTACTTGTTCACATAAAGTTCTCACTTATGCCTATATGAGTGTACTTTGAAGCAGTTTGACAGTAGTAAACTTCAGCTCCCTTCTGTAAGTCCTTGCAGAAATAAACTTGAATTTCTTGAGTCAACTGGGTCTCTTGGCCAAACAGTAGCAGGTGCTTCCAGACCATCAATCCTGGCATAAGTTTCACTTGCTGGTAGTTGTGTGTGGAGTAGAGGAGGGTCAGGAAGGCAGATGCTGTGAAGCTTCTGCTCTCTGCCTTACCCTTCTTAGCCCCTTCTGTGGGGAATTATTGGTAACTGGTGTAAAATCAGAATGAACTTCAAATGGGAATAGGAAGAGGGTTAATGAATTGATCGTTACGGTGGTATCCTCTGTGCTTTCAGCTTTCTCCCCAACCCTCATGATTATTTCTCAAGCCTCAAATTAAGGTCGTCATTGTTAGGTACCACCCAGCTGGCTTTGAACAAGGGGCCTTATGTTCAACAGAACAAAATGCTGCCGGTCCTGCACCGTCCTCATAATTGTCGCAGCCACAGTGTCGATTGATCTTTCTGAAGGTCTTCCTCCTTTTCACCGACCCTCTGCCAAATAGTACGTCCTCTTCCAGGGACTCCAAACTCCAAACTCACTGTCATCCAGTCCATCCTGACCTAACGACAGAATGGGACAGGACAGACCTACTCCTGTGGGTTTCCCTGACTGTAACGCTTTACAGGAATATAAAGGCTTATCTTTCTCCCGTTTCCAGGGACAGTTCTCTCTTAATAAAATGCCTGAAGTACAAGAAATGAAGTCTGGCCGTCCTTCATTCTGTGGGCCACTCTGGTTGTACTTCTTCCAAGAGAGACCTTAAGGTATTGCACCTTCTGTCAGGTATGATTCAAAGGCTCTTTGTGGCCAACTTCTTTCAGTTTTAGTCCACAAGTCTTTCATTCTTCTAACAAATGCTATTAATTAGCTTCTTCACTTCTGAGGCAGTTTGGAAATCCTCCGTCTTTTATTTCCCCATCTCTCTGCTTCCCAGCCTTTCCTCTCTCAGACAGGGGATTGTCCCAAACTGTCCTGTGCAAATCTGGCTATTTACATTCCATGAAAGCCCACTTTGTCTCTGGTAAACCTGCCCGCTTACCAGTGAGCACACCGGCCCCAAGCTAATCCCATCTCTGCTGTAGTTTACAGAATTTCCATTAATGTGTGGAGGTGAGGAAAACTTGAAAATACTTAGCATGTCCCTCTGATTTGCACAATTCCTTAGACACAGTTGCAGTGTGACATGCATTTGCCAAGTGAAAACTCTGCAGACATTCCGGAAAATGTGTTGATAGCATATTGGGAAATGTTTACGTAGAACAAATATTAATTCTTGGATTGACTTAACCACTAAACTTGAGAGAACTATACAACTTCATCAATTGCTGATCAGAATTAGGAGGAAAATGATGTGAATGCATATTTAATTAGGTATTATGCGTATAGGAATCTTGTGGGGGGAGGGAGTGGTTATGTGTTCGGCTACTAACTACAAGGTCAGCAGTTTGAAACCACCAGCTGCTCCATGGGAGAAAGGTGAGGCTTTCTACTCCCAGAGTGACAGGCTCAGAAATTCACAGGGGCAGTTCTACCCTGTCCTACAGGGTTGCTATGAGTCAGAATCAGCGCGATGGCAGTGAGGTGGTGTGTGTGTGTATGGATACTTGACGATAAAGACAGGACAGTGTTTCCTATTTAAAAGAGAAAACAGAGAAAGGCCATCCCAGTGTATTCGGACAACAGTCTTTCCCCGTGGAGCCAAGAGTAATTTTCTCTCACAGGATACAAGATAGTCCCAATCTGGACCTTGCTTACCCTTGTGGAATGCAATTCTTTTTCTTGTTTTTAAATCACTTCAGTTGTCTTATTGGGATTTTGAAAAGGATGTAAGGTGTGAGTATAAGAGAAAAAGGAAAGATCCAAATCCCCATTGAACCCAAAAACCTTTATCTTAACTTGTAAGGATTTCCAGGAAAGAAGTCTACAATGCTTCTTCCCGTGTGGGTGGAGTATACGCAAGCAAAGATATTTGACCTCAAGTAATTCACCTGGATTAAAAATTAAAGCCTCATTTCCAATTTCTTGTCTGTGGGATTTAATTCTAATGCACTGAATGAAAATGCGATATAGAATATGTAAACATAAAATGTTGACTCTACAACATTATTTTGGGTATGAAAATAGCATCACAAGCTAACATGCATTGCCCAACAATAAAACATTGAGATAGGAGTGTTTTCTCTTACTACTGGCAAAAATATCACAAACGTTCTGTTGTGATATTGTGTAGCCTCTGTATTCCTCTATTAGCAGCAGACAAAGACACTGATCAGCAAACGAACAGTGCTGCTCTTCCTAAACCGAGGCTCTCTTGGATTCTATGATCTTAGGCGATGTGTCAGGCCGGTGCTTGTTCCTGATCGCATCCATTTCCTCATCCTCCTGTAAGAAAGCAGCCAGCAGTGGAATCTGAGAAAAATAGTTCTTGGCCAGAATATGCTTGTGTCGGATCTTGTGAATAAACACGGGTTCATATCCCTGAGAAAGAAAGAAAATCAAATTCCATTAAATGTCACGGATATATATAGCGAAGCCAAAAACATATTCGTGCCTCGGTGCTCCGTAGTTATTTCAGCTCATATGCACTTTCCCACTTTGCCTACATCTTTCTGATTCTTTCACCTGGAAGCCTTGCCTCTGACCGCTCGGAGTTCAAATGAATCAGCCGTTGCAAACACTTTGAGTGGATGTTCAACACAGCTCACACTACCTTGAATCAGAATCGTGCTGATTTGCTGAAGAATCTCTTCGATTACAAGGAAACTTGCTTGAAGGTCCAAACTGGGACTTCCTCTTTTGGATGTGTGCCCTTGCCACCTTGGGGGCTCTCGTCAAATCTATTTCAGCCTTTCAAGCTACTTCAACACTGATACAATTAGCAACTTGGTTTTTCTTTCTTTTCCCCCTTCTCTTCCACCTCCCCGGTCTGCCCTTCCACCTGCCCAGAGCTAACTGTAAAGAAGGCATCGTTGCTGTGACCACGCAAACTTTTCTTCGGTTGTTCTGCTCGCTACCTCCCAGGTCCATCCACCTTGTAAGTGCCTTCACGCTCTCTTCACGAGGTCATCTACCCAAGGCATAACCCCTATGCTTCCAAGGCTCCTGTGACAAACACCCCCTCTGAGCTCCCATCCGCCCTCCCCCCTCAAAATAAACCTCTTGCCATCAACTCGTTCTCACTCATAGTGACCCAATGGGACAGGGTAAAACTGACCCTGTGGGTGTCCGAGACTGTAGCTCTTTACGGGAGTAGAAAACTTCATTTTCCCCTGATGCCCAACACATAACCACTGCACTTCCCGGGCTCACCTGACACACGCAGTAGGTCAAGAAATCATACCAACATATTTCAATGGGCAAGGCTGCTGCATACCAACCGAAACCAAACTCATTGCCATCAAGCCCATGCTGACTCAGAGCAGCCCTGTAGGACACCGAAGAACTCTCCCTGTGGGTCTCCAAGATTGTAACCCTTTACTCGAGTAGAACTCTTTGCCTTGCTCCCCCTGCTGCTCAGGCCTCTTTGAAGAGTTTAACAAGCACAGATATCATGTTGAGGACTAAGGTGTGTGTGACCCAGGCCAGGGTGTTTTCATTCGTTTAATATTCAAGTGCAAGTTTGACAATGAATAAATGTTATTGGAACTTAGGGTCTTGTCCGCCCTAAATAAAGATCAACATTTAGAGGCCCAGAAAGGGTGTTTGCAACGCAAATGTTATAGAATGACTTCTAAGAGTAAGAAAAACCTTCCCAGCCAGCATGAGCAGTCTCAGTGTTTTCTCACTTCCCGACTGCGAAACAGAGATTCTTAAGCATTCGTGAGCAAGAGATGGTTGGGAAAATTCATCTGGCATCAAGGGTAATGTTGCCTGGAGTGGCTAGGAGTTCTGGGAAATATAGCCCCAAGATACTGTACTCTGCGAATGCTCTTTACAAATCTCCACCTTTCCTCCCATGTCATGTCACATTAGGAAAAATGCAGAAGAGTTGAGTCATTTGCATTATGGTTTTAGCAAGGAATATGGAAAGTGGACCGTGGACTGCCAGAGCAAACAAATCTGTCTTGAAAGAAATACCAGCAGAGTGACCTTAGAAGACCAGTCCCTGGAAAAGGGCATCGTGGATGGTAAAGGGCACGGTCTTCAAAAAAGAGGAGGCCTCGGTGAGAAGGACTGACACGTGGCACAACAATGGGCTCAAATCTAACAACAGCTGGGAGACTGGTGCAGGACCGGCAGCATTTCTTTCTTTTGTGCATAAGGTCGCTAGGAGTTAGAAGGGACTCCATAGCACCTAACAACAGAGCAATTCCATAATGCAATATTAATTCAGACATATGCAGAACAATGGAGGTTTACAAAGTACCTTTACTACTAACGCCACCATAGAATCGATTCTAATGCATAGCAACCCTGTAGGGCAGAGTGGAAATCTTCACCAACGTGGGTCAGAAATCTTCACCAAAGCAGACACTTTTCTCCTACACAGTGGTTAGTGGATTTGAACCACTGGCCTTCTAGCTAGCAGCTAAATGCCTAATCACTGCTCCATCAGGTCCCAAAGTATCGCGAGAGGGCCAAAATAGCAATCATTAAAGAGGAGATCAACATAATATGGTACAGACATCCAATGAAGTCAGAAGCAACCCTTACCAAGGAAGAGGAGTTCCTGGGTGATGCCAATGGCTACTGTTGCCATCCAAGCACACCTACAGGAGCCTCTGAAAAAAGGCCTGTGGTGCTATTTCCCAAAACTCCGCCTCTGAAAACCCTCTGGAGCACAGTTCTACTCTGACACGCATGGGGCTGCCATGGGTTGCAATCAGTTTGACAGGAACTGGTTTTGTTGCTTTGGTTTGTTTTCAAGAATAAGATCATATGGAAAAATAGAAAAGATAGAGCCGAGACCTATTGTTCAGTAAAGCATTACCAATTTAATATGAAACCAACCCTAGAAAAATCAGTGTATGCTTGCATACATATAGAAAATATCTAGAAGGATTTCAATGGACTGTACTTAAGAAATCGTAGCTACCCCTCTCGGAAGCAGAAGTGGAGATCAGGAGACTTTCATTTGCTACTTTCACATCCTTTCACCACATGCAAATATTTTGAAACCAAGAATGTATTGATTTTATAACCCTTCAAAATAAAATGGTCCTTCCATGGACATCACTACTACCCATGTTGTTTCGCGTCACCAGGGTCAGAAATTCTGACTTCGTGTCCACTTTGGGGTCTACTTTGGCCAGTGTACACACCACGGAGGATGTATCTGCTGCACGTACAGCTCAGTGAGAGAGCAGGAGTCTTTTGTCATGTTTTCCTCATAACGTGCATCATGATTGCAAGGTGTCAAGATGATCATATCTGGAGTATTTTTTTCACTTCCTGAGAGAGTAAATCTCTGGGTATTAAAGGAATTCTACAAATGTCTGAACTTGCTACAAGTCATAAACTGCTCTCTGACTGGAATGAATATTAGTAAATAAAAGATTGCACATTAGCCCCCAAACCATAATAAAATCAAATGCTTTGGGGTTTATCTGATTTAGAACCTAAGCACTACTTATAGAAATTCAGTAAGATTGGCATCTGCAAATTATAAATGCAAGTGAATGGAACATCCAATTTGCTACTGAAGTCATTTGATTAAACACACAAAGGGAGTTCTGTAGGTTAATTAAAGAAGCCCAGGAATATCAGCATTAGGGATGAACTTCAATCCCACCAAAGGGCCCTCAAGTAACGATATCGCTAGTATTGGCCCTGTTTCCCATGATTAAATATTTATGAGGCAGCTTGGTTTACTAAATATAATATTTAACAGAGCTTCAATTTCTTGCTGCCCTTTTTTTCAGTCCCTAGAGTGAATTTTTTTTTCTTAATATGGCTTCTTAAAACTCTACTGGAGTTGTGATAAGAGCTATACTAGCACCCAATAAAATGATTTAAAATTTTTAAAAAATCTACAGGAGCATTATTTTAAAAACTGAAATTTTAACTACTCTCTCCCTTTATACCATTCCACTTCCTCCACCCACACCCCCCACCCCACCCCACCGCCCAAAGGGAAACAAACAGGATGGGGATGCACTATTCAAAGTAACGATTATGTTTAAATTCACTTTTTTTATATTCCCTTGTTGCTATCTTCCATAGAATGAAAGGCCCAGCAACTGGATCAACACAAGGCAGAGGCTGCACACCAGCCCCTGGGATCCTGGGCTTGCTGAACGAGAGGAAGCTCTCCAGAAACTCCCCAGGGGCCCCTGGGATCTGTTCATCGGACTGCTTTCCAGATCTCGCCAGGTAAGTTACTGAAACCAAGTGGCGTTTTGCTTATGCGGCACCAAATGAAATGGAGAGCCTCTGAGCCACCATAAGCCTTTCGGATAGCTGCCACTTAAGGCCTATAATTACGCACAGAATTTGAGGCAGCCTCATGATGATTAATCAAAAAGGGTTCCATAGTAATCTATGTAGTAGTCATATTCATTCATTTATTAAAACCAGCATTTGTCGAGCCCTTGGCATGTGACTGGGCTGCCGCAGGGGCCCCAGGAAGGGGCTCCAACAGGACAGTGATGCAGGACCAGGCTGTGTTCCTTCTGTTGGGTATACAGTTGACAGGAGTTGGAACTGACTCATCTGACGTCTACCAACCACCACAGTCTGTGACAGGTACTATTGAAGGTATTCAAGATAAGGGAGGCCACGAAGTTAAACAAGATGAAGTATGCTTAGATTTCAGGGAGAGGACATCATCATGACGAAGGACTAAACTAACTTGGGACAAGAAAACCTCTCGTGTGTGAAACATACTGCAATTATACACATAACCCCTTCTCTGGGCTTGCACCTGCTATTAAAAGAGTAGTGTCTTAGTGGACATTTATTTTTATTCCGTTTCTTCTCAAGGTGAAGACAACTCTTTATAAATGTCCTAGAGAAATATAGTAGCTTTCTGTTCACCCTTTGCAAGTAAATTGGGTGGATCGTTCCACTACTGACACACACACACACACACAAAAGAGAGTAGTGTCATATTTAAGCATTGATCAGGCATTCAAATCCCTCATGGTGACCTTTTATGTATCTTTTTATGCTGCCTTTTAATTTCAAACTCCTCCTTACGTACCATCACCTATGTTGCTGCTGGTGCCCATGTGTTCCCTGCTTTCTAATTTGTCTCAAGTAGTTAAATCAAGCAAGGTGTGTATTAGAAGGGAGCAAATGATCTCTGGAAAAGTCTGCCGACTAGACAAATTCCCCAAGTCAAGGTCACCTTACTTACCTCTTCAATATTTGATAGTTTGAGATGCGCAACTCCTTCATCTTTGGTGAGAAGAATGCAGTTCCAGGGGGACCACTGCGTGGACCTCTCCCATCTGACTAGAACCAGATCGTTGAGATCGTCCCAGGCACTCAGTGCCGACTGCGATGCCCAGATGTTCTCAACCAGATACTGAATGTCTTGCAGCTATGAGTCAAAACAAGTTTGACAGGTAAGGTTACGTTTACTTCCACACATGGCATTCCCTTAAGAGGACCCCATTAACTAAGGAGGTACTGAAAACCATAGTGGGTCCTCCAATAAAGTGACTTTTTTTTTTTTTTAATCAGGTTGGGAATGTTTCATGAGGTTTTCAGGAATACATGAAACAGAAAGGCACCGCTGTTGAGTCATGTCTGTTTCATGGTGACCGCATACCACAGTGTAGAATTGCTCCATGGTAATTGATTGCCAAGACTGACTTCAGCACAACTCCTGGTGGGTTTAAGCCACCAACCTTTAAAGGTGGTACTCAAATCCAAACTGTGTATGTCACCCAGCGATGTTCAGTGGCACAGCCCAAAACACTACCAATGCATCAATTCCTACTCACAGTGCATCTATAGCACAGACTACCACTGCTCCCCACCCCAGAGGGTTTCTAAGGCTGCAAACCTTTACAGAAGCAGAGCGTCACACATTTCTCCTGTAGAGTGGCTGGTGGGTTGAGCCTTTTGATCACGAGCTGAGCACTGCACCACTGTGTCAGCACGGCTCTCTTTCACTGGCACACAGTCCCATACTTTTCACGAAAGCTGTTCATTCAGCCCAAACGACCATACTTTACCAATCGCCCAGCCCTACCCCATCTTTAGGCCTTGTCTTTAGGCTATCTGTCTTTCTTCCCATCAGTCAATTTTATCTTACATTTCTACAAGATTAAATACTTTTTAAAAACTAGTAAATACCAGTAAAAACCAGTAACTACCAATTCAGTGCTAATGTAAAATCCTTCCAGAATTTTTATTCCCATTTGACAAACAAAGCCTAAGATTTGGTGAGGAGTCAGTGATGCATCTTGTGTTACTGAAAGGCCAATGCAACAAAAGAGGGAAGTGTGTGAATGAAATAAGTATTTAGAACTTCATTCTAATTTAACTATATTAGCGACAACTCTTATAATGGCATTTCCTCCTAGGGGCGCTGCATAAAAAAATTTAGCATCAATCATCACAGAAGGGCAAGTTCACAAAACATAAACATTATAAAAAGAAGAAGAACCCTTATTTTCAAAGGGCTGGGAAGAAAAGAAATATTTTTATAAATTCAGTGGACAAAACCCTATGTAATTTACTGAAGTTTCTTTAAAATAAGAAAAATGAATTTGTCTCCATCAGCTACTGTAATATTTCAGAAATGGGAAATTCAATATATTAAGCTCAACTAACACAATCTAACACGGCACTTAATGCCAACAAATACAATACTGTAACAGCTGGTATGGAAAAGCAATCTATGGAATGCTTAAATGTCATGCTTCATGTATTTTCACTCACATTTTTTGTTTAGCATGTCTTGCATTTCTTTGCTAGATTGTCATTTTCTCCAGAGACCTTGGTACTTTACATCCAGTTTGAGAGACAGACCTGTGGCCCTGATCTCTCCCTGATCAGTGAATCTTTTTCAGCGTCATTACAGGGGCTCTAGCTCTCCAACCTCAACAAACAAAATGCTCAAAGTATCCTGATCCTCCCTCTTACTACATCCTTGGCCCACTTCTGCCTCTGGAGCTGCATACTTCCCCACAATCTGCAACGCTTCCCCAGCCTGGTGGCCTGATCAGTTGCTATTCACTCCTTTCTGTCATCTTCTCAGTCACTTCCTTGAGGAGCCCCACCTTGGCCCTCCTAACCCCCACTTAATGCTAACACAGTGCCCACTGCACATCTCTTCCCTAACACTGTTGTGATATGTAGGTTTATTGTGCCAAACTAGCCAATAAGAACATGTAGGATTAATAAGGTCACAGTTTGATTGGAGGGCAGAGAGATAAATAGCTTGGACAGCCCCTCCCCTCTCTCTCTCTTGCTCTCTAGTGATCTGACCAGTGTGCAGCTGCTTTAGCTAGTTCTCTGCCTCAACTTGTGAGCAACACTACCTGTGGGACAGCCAACCTGTGGATGTTGTCACTACAGCTTGAGGTTTCTTCGAGAACTGCTTCACCACGCTGCTGGTATACACATCACTTGAGCTTCAGGCTGTCAGATCCTGACATCTTGCATTGCTTGGGTTCAATACCCTATGTGGGCCTGCTTTGCTAAGCTCTTGAGCTGCTGTTGGTGACTTGCCCTGCTGTTTGTTGCCTGTGGCCAAACTGCATGCATTGCCCTAGGGAATACTGAGCTGTCTGCTTCCTTGATCTTGGACCCAGCAGCACTCGTGAGTTGAAGGACTTCCAGTATATTAACTGTTCATCGAAGTACAGTTGAACTGAGCTCTCTGTACTGCTGTGTGGATAATTAGCTATTATATTCCTTCGTGCTGTATCTATCTATCTATCTATCTATCTATCTATCTATCTATCTGTCTATCAATGATCATAAATGTCCTGGTTTTATTTCTCTAGAGAACCCTATCTAACGCAACTGTATATACTTCAAATCCATAAACCAAACTCACTGCCATGGAGTCAATGCTGACTCACAGTGACCCTGAAGGACAGGGTAGAACTGACCCTGTGAGTTTCCAAGACAGTAACTCTTTACCAGAATCGAAAGCTCCATCTTTCTCCCAATGAACCAGCTAGTGGTTTCAAACTACTCACCTTCCAGTCAGCAGCCCAACTTTGTAAGCACTATGCCACCAGGGCTCCCTGTATACACATACTAGGGGGCTTCAAAACAATTGTGGGAAAATGGAATAAAATTAAAAGATCAAAAGACATTCAAAGGATTCTTAAAACATGAGTGAATTGTTCCACAAATCTTTTGCAGTCCCCTCTAATTACAGGAATGTGTCTGCCTTCTGTTCTGAGGTGGAAGGTCTTATCCACGAGTGTGTTCTCAGTGCATGTCACAATACTTAATGCCTTAAGATTAACATGTAAAATTCCAAAAACTGGACCCCACAAACAACTGGGTGATGGATTCACTGTCCACATTAGGAAGCCAAGGGCATGGCTTTCCACCCAAGGATACACTCAGCCACGCTTCCCATGCTTTCTCCCTGTGATGACAGCCCCCGTGAGAGGGGCACATGTCACCTCACCATGACTCGCACCCTCACTGATCATACCTGTATCAGGTAAGCAATTTTAGAGTCATCCTCATAATCCGCTTCTGAAAAGTAGAGCCGTTGCAGGAGACTCTTGTACTTCAAGAAGGACTCTCGCTTCCAAGTCTCATTGTCAAGGCTATTGCAATGACGACAGCGGTAGATGCGCTGTGAGGTGGACGATATAGAAAACTCCGTGGAAGGCAGATAGAGCTGGCAGCTCTGGCAGAAGTAGATCTTCTTATAAAACTTCAGAGGGTCTTGAGGAACCTAAACAGTAAACCAAAAGAGAGACTTAAAAGCCAGGTGGGCCAGTTATAACACCATATATGTTCCCTTTATTCTACATGGAATGTATATTTCAAGTCCTGCTCATTTACTTTGTCCAGAATATTAAAACACTGCATTCTCTGTTCACACTTAGATAAGCAAAAACAAGCTCACTGTCATCAAAGCAAATCCTGGCTCATAACGACCCCATGGGTGGAGTAGAACTGCCCCTGTGAATGTCCAAGGCTGTGATTGTGTGTGGAAGGAGAAAGCCTGATCCTTCTCCTGTAGAGGGGTTGACTGTTTTTAACTGCTGACCTTGCAGTTAGCAGCCAACTATGTGACCCACTGTGATTAAATCTCCTACATCATAAATTGATTGAAAAAATTCATTAGGTATTGGCTTGGAGTGGCTACTATAAAGAACACCCCTCCACTTTTAAAGAACAAGTGAGTTAGTACATCTTTGTGTAATTAGTTTGATGCTATGCTACATTAATTATATTGACAGGCAATAGCTAGAATCACCTCTTGATAAAAGCTCACCAAACCAAGATTTTCTAATTTACTCATCTTAGTAATGAATTTGATGGGCCTCGAAGGTCAAATTTCAAACCGTTAAAACTCTGCACGTAGAGCAGAGGCCAGGCCTCCGTCTGAGAAGCATCGAGTCAATGGGTACTTTCTGGGCCAAATATCATGGATGACCAAAGAACTAGTGGATGTTGAGCTGTTCCAATACAAACTGATTCAAGAGGTGCACATGCCTACTTCGAATCACTATTACTAGCCCCCATGAGAAGAAAGATTGAGTGTCCATGGAGACCTGTGAGCTTTCAAACCCATATTGTATCCAAGAATGACGTGGCATTAATGTGCCCATACTCCTTCTCTTGCTGAAGCTTTGTATCTCTCGACTATGAAGTCTGTTGCCTTTCTGCCTTCTTCCCTGTAGCACTACTTTACGTTTTCTAAGCACTAACTTCCCAAAGAGTAATATGTATGGAAAAATTCATTGTTGCATGCCTCCTTATTTGTGAGCCTGAAGAATCTTTGAAGCTAAGACCACATACTCTTTTAAAAAGTCATCAGTTCGAGGACTTCCAGGAAGATGGCGACTGAGTAACACATACCAGAGGGACTCCGCATAAATCAGCTCAGGAGAGATACTTAGAGGAAAAATCAACACTGCTGGATGGCAGGAGGAGCACCATAAAAATAAATAGGCAGAGATCCACAGGGTTTTGAGGGGCTGGGGGCTTTTGGCTTACCGCAGTGGCCGCCAGCTAGGGCTTGATCTTAACCCCGCGACTGTGTCGGGCAGAGCCGGGACCTTTTGGAGCCAGCACGGGGCCTAAATCTCAACACAGCCACAGTTTGCCATGGGGTTGGGACAGGGATTAAAACCTTGCAGCTCCATGGGCAGGGATCTGGGCTCAACTACATTGTTACTTTTGTTTCCCTCTCTTCTCTCTATCCCTCCACAGTCTCAGCAGGCTTACTTTTTAATTTTTTTCCTCCTCTTTGTCTCTTTCCTGTTCTCTCCCACTCCATTGCTGACCTCCAGACCTAGGTCATCTATGCCTGTTCCTTAGCCTAGGGCATCTATGCCTGTTCAACACACAGCTAGGTGAGCTCCACCCTGTGTATCTTGCCCAAGGCTGGAGAAAGCCCTGCTGACCTCCACCAGGGGATACTCTGCCCAATTTCTTACCAGAGAATCCCTGCTTGTGTGGCTGGGGGAGCTCCTATTTTTCCTCAGTTGCCCCATGTGACTGAGGGAACTTCCTCCCACCTACCTTAGTACCTCATATGGTGCCTAAGGCAGCTCATCCCACACTCGTAAAAATTCTATTCTGCTGCAGGAACCTCTTCCCAACCTCCGCAACACCAAAGCAGGCAAGCCACCAGCCTTCTGGGGCGCTCCTCTGAGAGGGAAGCCACAGGAGGATAAAATGATAGTTTAATTCCATAGTGAAATTAGCTGTAGGAAGTTCAAAGAAGCATTCCTACAAGTCTCCCAGAGAGAGCCAGTACTCTTCAAATCCCTGGAAAATGGCACCTGGCTACTCTCAAACAACATAACGCAAACAGCCTTCAGTCCCAACGACCTCAATGAAAAAACAGGAGAAACAAAAGGCAATGGCAGAAGATGTCCTGAACATAACAACATTCATAGAAGAAGCAGACAATGACCTGCCACATAAAGAAATTTTCAGAATGCGGCTTGGAGTCATACAGTGAGAATCGACTGGAGGAAGCAGAGAACCGCATCAGTGACTTGGAGGACAGCCAAACAGGCTTTAGCAAACATGAACAAAAATCTAATAAGATCATCAGAGAAGCTGAAGAAAACCTAAGTGTTATGCCTGATGCTATGAAGAGTAACAACATTAGAATTATTGGATTAGCAGAGAACGACACAATAAAGAAGGCATCTGCAACAGAAGTGAGAGAATTCTTGGAGGAAAACTTCCCCAGCTTAATGAATGAAAATGAGGCAACAATTCAGGAGGCTGAAAGAACACCAGCTAGACTGAATTCCAAGAAGAAGTCACCAAGGCACATAATAGTTAAACTATCCAACATTGAGGGAAAGGAGAAAATCATGAGAGCAGCTAGGGAAAAACAAGCAATCACATATAAAGGTTCCCAAATAAGAATATTCTCAGACCTATCAGCAGAAACTATGAAGAAGAAGAGAGAGTGGAGTAACATATCCCAAAAATTGAAGGAAAACAACGCAAAGCCAAGAATACTCTACCCAGCCAAATTATAGATCAAGATAGATGGAGAAGTAAGAGTCTTCCCACACAAGGAAAAACTCAAAGAATACGTTAGAAGAAACCCAGCCCTACAAAAGATCCTTACCGACCCAGCATGGGCAGAAGAACAACACCCATCAAGCATAAATAAAAGACCGCCACGTTGAACAACCTCACCCAGAGGGCAACAAAGAGAAAACAGACCCCAAGATAGCAGTGGCTAAAGGTTGTAAAAAAGTCAAGAATTATACACACACACAAACACAAACACACGTACAACGCACTAATAAGAAAGGAAGGTAGGAAAACACCCAACACAAAAGGTATAAGATGACATCACAGAGTCTGCAGATGGAGATAATAACCCTGAATATCAATGACCTGAATTCAGGCATTAAAAGACTGAGGCTAGCAGACTGGCTTAGAAAACACAACCCATCAATCTGCTGCCTACAGGAGACACATCTCAAGGCTACAGACAAAAATAGGCTGAGAATCAAAGGCTGGAAAAAGGCATACCAAGCAAACAACAATTCAAAAAAAGCAGGGGTTGCAATCCTAATCTCGGATAAAATTGACCTCAAAGTGAAAACCATAAAAAGAGATAAAGAGGGACACTATATAATGCTCAATGGAATGGTAGACAAAGAACCACTAAGCACTGTAAACATATATTCCCCAAATGAGAACCCTGCTGAGTATGCCAACCAAAAACTCGAAAAGATGAAAAAAGAAATCACAGCCTCAACAATTATAGTGGGTGACTTCAATACACCGCTCTCTGAGAAAGATAGATCACAGGGAAATAAACTCAACAAGGAGGCTAGAGATCTAAACACTATAATTAGACAATTTGACCTGATAATATTTACAGAGCTTTTCATACAAATACAAAAAATTCACATACTTTTCGAGCCCACAAGGCACATATTCTAAGATAGACCACATGCTGGGGCATAAGGTGAATGTACATAAATTGAAGAACATTGATATCATACAGACCTCTCTCTCTGACCACTGTGCCATAGCTGGAAATCAACAAAAAGAAGACGAAGAAACCAAGAGCAAACAATTGGAGGATGAATAACTCCCTATTGCAAAAGAAGGGCTTATAGGCACAGATCAGAGATGAAATTAGGAAATTTCTAGAAACCAACGAGAATGAGAACACAACATACCAAAACTTATGGGACACAGTTATCAGAGGAAGTTTCATAGCAATACATGCACACCTGAAAAAGGAAGAGAGACTCATGATTGATATGCTGGCACAAAATTTACAACAACTAGAGCAGAGTCAGCAGGACAATCCTACTAATAGCAAAAGAAAAGCAATTATAAAAATCAGGACTGAGACTCAGGAGAGGGAAAATAAGAAAACAATGGGAAAAATGCTGCTAAATGTTGATTCTGTGAAAGGATAAACAAAATCAACATACCACTGGCAAACCTAACCAAAGAAAGGAGAGAACAAATTTCAATAGCAAGAATGAGGGATGAAAGAGGGGACATTACAACAGACTCTAATGAAATCAAAAGGATAATTACACAGTACTACAAAGGATTGTACTCCAATGAATTCAACAACTTGGAAGACATGGACAAATTCTTGGAAAAACAATCCCTCCATAGATTGTCCCCAAAGGATGTCAAGATACTCAATAGACCCATAGCGATAGAAGAAATAAATAAGGTTATCAAGGGATTACCAACAAAAAAAATCCCCTGGACCAGATGGCTTCACTGGAGAATTCTACCAAGCATTTAGGGAAGAGCTAACACCAATCCTACACAAATTCTTCTAGAACATAGAAAAATAGGGCAAACTCCCAAACTCCTTCTATGAAGCTAGTATAACTCTGATACCAAAACTGGGCAAGGATCTCACAAAATTTGAGAACTACAGACCAATATCCCTAATGAGCATTGATGCAAAAATCCTTAACAAAAAATTGGCCAATAGAATACTAAAGTATATAAAACAAATAATTCACCATGACCAAATGGGATTCATACCAGGGATGCAGGGATGGTTCAACATACGAAAGACCATTAATATCATTCACCACATTGACATGAAAACTATAAGAACCAAATGATAGATGCAGAAAAAGCATTTGACAACATTCAACACCAATTCCTGTTAAAGACACTTGAGAAGATAGGAATGGAAGGAAAATTCCTCAAGACAATAAAAGCTATATATGGAAAACCAACAGCCAATGCGGGGGTCAA